GATTTTAGTAATTTCAATTTTTGAGATCATGAGTCACTTCAAGCAAGACCACCATGGAAAACCTGGAAGCACTGGACGGCCGTTTCCTCCTATTGTGGGACTCCTCAGCAGTTGTGAGATAGTAATTCACTGATGACAATAGTGGATGTGTCGCCCAATTTAGTTTAGACATTGGCACCGTTGGATGCAGGCCGGCTCAATGGTCTAGTGGTTAAGTGCTCGCGCGCGAGACCAGTAGGTCCTGGGTTCGAAGCCCGCGAGGCGGGATCGTGGATGTGCACTGCTGAGAAGTCCCACAATAGGAGGAAACGGCCGTCCAGAGCTTCCAGGTTTTCCATTGTGGTCTAGCTTCAAGTGACTCATGATCTCAACAATTGAAATTAAATGTAATGAAATTGAAGAAATGTAAACAAAAGTGTTGTAAGTAGAAATGATATGCGTGGAAAGATCTTGAATTATCTAACATAATAACAAGAGATCATAGAGCAAAAGAAAATAATAATTGATTGTGTAATGAAGTAGCTAATCATAAGTCGACGGTGATTAAGAATGAGTTGATATTAGTCAGTTTAGACATAAAATTATAAATTCGAAAGCAATAAAACTGATTCAATCAAAATAGGTGAAAGAGTTGGGCAAATGACGTAGTAAATTGAGGGTAATTTCACCATGACAAGAAGGAATTACCACTATTTCTTTGTGTATACATAATTCCCATTTGAGAAATGCGGTGTCTGTAGCTTTGGAAAATTTAGGAAGAATTAAGTCTGATTGTCGATTGATAGTCTTAAAAGATTCCCGTGAATCAACCTAGTGTTCTTTGTCAGAGATGTTTAGAAATAACACTACTGAAAGCACTTATTCCCTTTGACTTAGGACTATTGACATGCTCTTGGAACCAAACATATGACCTTTCTGTTCTACCTACCTAGATACGTGGGGAGATACGTCCAGAATTAAATATGCATAGATACCAATTAATCTTAGATTGTTGTAGAGAGAATGTTGCTTCGTGTAAACTAATCAACTTGACTGCAGGATATGTTCTGATCAGTATGATCATTAATCTTCTGTTTATTGTTGCTGCAACATCATCAACTTTGAATTTAAGCTAAATAATAATAAGTATTTGTCTAGTATGGTTTCTTCAGGCGTTCTATTTTTACTTCTCCCAATAAATTTCTATAGATACCCGTTGTTTCTTAGATAATTTTTAACGTTCATTAATTCTACTTCCAATGGTTCGGTAGTAGATATCCTTCCTATTATGTACAATAGCGTCTTGATCAGTAACATTCCATGAGTAATTGATCAAAATCTTTGGAAAACAAATAAATTCCATTTCATGTATTTCTTTTTGATAAAGTAAATGTTAGTTTTTACCATCCTCCTTCCGTTTTATAGTGATGTCAAGGTGTAACTTGTTATTCTTTTAATGTTTCATAGTAAACTGGATACTTTGATGAGCGTATTTGAAAAGGTTCAGCAGATATTTTGCTTATTGTTAACCATTACATGCAACAAAAGCACCGTCAACATACCCCGCATAATACAGCATTTTACCAATAGCTTCTTTAAATTTAATCTTTTCAAGATAAACCTTGAATATATATATCATTACTTACAACTTTTTTATTCCTTCAATCTCATTACATTCTGTTTGAATCGCCAACCCATCATAATTGATATTGTGGCCCAATCAGAAGTAGCTAAATGAGGTCACTTATGGACGATCTGAAATGACCTGAAGGACAAATGAATATAATTGGCCAAAAAATGGATTAGTTTTCTAAAGGGTAGATATGAATGTATATAAATGAGTATTTGTGCAAGTTATTCGATAGACAAATATGTCTTCTCGCTTGCTATTACGTTCTCGCTCAAGTAGTCAAGTGGGAGATTAGCGTGTAGCATCTCAGTGCCCAGTTTTGGGGAAAATGGCATCTAACCCCCGAAATTCCCGCTAAATCTTGGTAAAGGTCATTTGACTTAGCGGATTTCACCAAATTTCCCAAAACTTGGGACATTGTGCATCAATATTAGATCTCGGATACCGCCCATTATAACAATAATGATATATACATCTAGACAATTTCAATGTAATAAATATATTTTTTTATTATTTTAAAATACCATCGGTTACAAGCTACTGATACGAAACCTTAACGAAATGAATCTATGTCATTCTGCTGAATTCTTTGTTCGTGTTTTCCTAAAGATAATAAAGTTTATGTAGTAAGATTTTCATAGTTAAATTGTTTGAAATATTAGTCACTCTACGTTCATATTATTTTTGAAAAGGAATTATATATGGTGTAAAAATGACAACAATTCTGTGAGGTCACTGAATATACGTCTCTGCCTCTGATGTGTTAAAAAGTACAGATCTACTGATTGATATACGCAAAATCATATCCAGATTAGCGGCTGTTTTTTTTGTGATAACAAAGTTAAAAATCTAGCAAAATGACGTATATAAAATCAGTTGTCATTTATCTAAATTTTAAGCTTCTTGCTCTTTCACATACATTTTTTCATATCCACTTGTATTCTGTCCAATGCTCATCTTATAACTTTCCTCTTTGATTGAATTTCGCTTTATATTGGTTTATAGAAATCTCAGTAATTTGAATCAATAAACATTGTACATATTCTATGTTATTATATGATTGTAACTAGTGAAGTGATTAGCTAATTAAGATGAGTGAAGGGTTCTTAACACTGTTACTTACCGTATAGTGAAATACTTAATATTGGAAATGTTATTTGTATCAATTTTTCCCTATCAAGTTGTAAAGTAGTCGATAGTGCAGTTTAATGAAAGAAATTTCGTATTCTTTAAAATAAATTTTCTTCGATTAAGAATAGATCACGGTGACTTTTAGCTGCGATACTTGGATTAAATAATTCTTCAGTAATCTAGCCTAAATTTATTGGAACAGAACAAGAATGAACTTAGGTTATTAAGGTATCTTAACTAAATCTGACTCACGGAATTGCTTAATCTCAAATTACTTGGTGACTAAGACTTAGAATACGAAAAGTTCACGAACAATGTGTTTCAAATGCATCAGAGGATAAAATCAGTGATGTAGAGTGCAAACTGGGCAGGAAGTAACTCATTGTTTAACAGACAGACACGAGTTCGACAAATACTCCTCAACAGTGCTCATCCATGGTCCTGCACGCGGGACTCGAATCCTGGACCTTCGAATCTCGCGCATAGTTGCTTAACCTCTAGACTATTGATCCGACATCCAACGGTGTTAATATCTAACTTCAAATAATTCACGAAATTGAGCGACACATCCACCATTGTCTTCCGTGAGTTACTATCTCACAACAGTGATTCAGTTTTTCAATGAATTAATGGGCCGATGCCCAGTTTTGATTTGGCCGCACCCAAGTTTCTTCTACTTAACTCCCACACTAGTTATCACCCGTCGAGGTAAGCGGTGATTGCGCATACGTATGACACTTTCCAACCACCTCAGTTGATGAAGATTTACTACTTCATCAATCGGTTTACCATTCTTACCTAATACTTTGTTCTTATCCCAGTAATTGTTTACCTAGTGATCCAGAAATACACGGGCAATGCTTCGAAGGTACTTATTATCAAATGCCGGTAGCCTACCAATGTCCTCTACTCTTAATGGACACGTTTCACGTCCATAAAGTAGGACTACTGAGTAGTAAACTCGTCCTTTAGTTTACAGACGGATATTTCTCCTACGCCACAAGTGACCTAATTTGACAAAAGCCAGTCGAGCATCCTGAATCTGTACCAAGATATCGTCAGACACTAAACCATCATGAATGGTGAGACTTCCAAGATATGTGCAGCAGTCAGTGAGTCCAGACAATTCACTCATCATCGATTCAGGAGCCAACCCAAGCCAATTCTGAAGCGACATTTCACACTTCGAAGGAAGCGAGGAATCACATTCCAAACATACATGAATTGTGGTGGTCAGAAGACTGCATTTTGTCAGCGTATTTACCAAGCAAATCCACATCTCCTGCGTATTTTCGGTTAACAGATGAATCTTCTGATAAGTCAACCCCTGAAAAATCAGTCCACATACCCATTTTTATGTGCCCAGTTATACGTACATAAGTGTGAAACGAACGAGTTCTAGAACCGTGAATATTTACTACTGATTTCCAGAATATTCAGCTGTTCCATAAAGGCAACTGTTTTAACACAGTAGAGTTAGTCGATCAACATAATCTGAACAAATTTTATCAAATAAAGCTTGTAAATGGATCTGAAATAAGAAGGTTATCTCGAGTGCATGACATCACTTCTGAAAAATGATGTTTTCATTCATGTTTATTTTGAAACACTGGCAAGTATTTCTTTATCTATGGCGCAAGTTTACTCTAAAAATCACCTTAGCGAAACAATATAAGAATCAGATTATGTTCGATGGTCAGAGTAGATAAGCAGTGTAGAAATCAATTAGAGATCTTACCAATGAGCTCATTATGCCATTCCCGTCCACCATTTTTAGGATTGAGACGCAAACACCCTAATATGTAAATGAGTTGTTAGAAAACTTATGTTGTCTATGCTTGAGCAGTGGTCGAATTCTATTAATTACTATTTATTGTATTCTATAGAGCGAATAGTAAAACATATAGGTAGCGTAATTTTCCAGCAAAGTACATTAAATATAAGACCAAACAACTGGTACATTTTTCGCTTACTTAAACTCGACACAAATTTGAAGCTTCAGCTCGTCTATCTCTATATCGGAAACTCCGGTCTAAGACAAATATAAACCCGTGCCTTCTTGCATTACTTTCAAACGTTAAGTCATGACTAAATTTTTACTATGTATGGCATCAATTAGTAGTCTATGGTCATAATTAGCACTAAACGGTAGAAGCAAATAAAAGTCGTATTGTATATACTTGGGACTTCTAACTGGATAATCACACTCAATATATTTTATACCTGTGATTATCCCACTGTAATTTTGTAGAACTATCGTAGCGAATAAAAAGAGAGCTGTATTATTTTTTCGACATATCAGACATAAAGATATGATGAATACTGAGACAGGTAATTGCAGTCATCATAATGACTAAGAATCTGACAGTTCAACTAAATACTGTTGCTACTGAAAATTCCACAGGAATATTAGTCTATCAAAGTATATCCCACTACGAAGAGATGCGAATTAGATAACAAGTTAATTCGAACAAAACCAACGATTAACTGATAAAACAATGAGTGGTATTTGAAATAATACTTATGCAACATATAAATATTTATGCATAAGAACTTGTAGAAATCAAAAATCAGAAACACAATAGGATGTATACACACCAGAATAATGTTTGGTGATGTACAATCGTAACAAAGAAAAACTGTAATAATATTGTAATAAACAATGAAAGTGACATGAAAACCAACTTGCAAATACACATGCTTATTTGTAAGTAGTATGTTTAAGTTCAAACAACATATTCATCACTCACACAATAATTTTTTTATAATTTCCCACAAAGAGCAAAAACATGTGGACACAGTTTGAAAGGATGAGTAAATTACGAAAAATGAAATGAGTGTATCGCGAAAAAATGAGCAAATGTATTAGTTCTGATAATACTTATACGTTGATATTACTGGAAATTTAAAACACAAATGATTGTCGTAGTGAATTAAAACAGTGTCCATTTCTAATAGGTTCAGTAAGGTAAAAGTAAACATTATATATGTACTACTAAAATCATATTTATACATTATTATGTCAAATGCAACAATTTTCAATGTAATTCATGTTAATGCTGTAGCTGGCATAGTATTTGTATTTGGTGGATTAGGAAATGTTAAATTTAAAGAAGTTGGACAAAATTCACCACCATTTATTTTAGACATACCAATATTTGAATTCGTTAAAAAGTGTTCAACAGATACAGCGGCAGCTGCTGCCGCCGCTGCAGGATGTATAACTGCTTGTGTATGTGGATCGAGAAAAGCACAACCCTCACACTTTGTTTTTTCACAATCTCCTACATTACCAACAAGACTAAATGTATTGTTGTTATTACTACTGGTAATAGGTGTACACCGCTGACTACGTTTTTTATGTGCGCTATAACTACTGTTATCGGAAAACGATCTGCCGCAAAATTCACAACGGTACGGTCTTTCACCGGTATGTATTCGTCTATGTTTTACCAGACTACTTGATACGGAAAAACTTTTGCCACAATCACAACAATGATATGGACGTTCTCCAGTGTGTATTCGTTTATGCGCAGATAAACTACTTGAATCGGCGAACGCTCGACCACATTGCATACAAGCAAATGGTTTTTCACCTGTATGAGTACGACGATGTTTAACTAGATCACTGGCACGATGAAACGATTTTGAACAATCTGTACAATGATGACGTTTTACACGTTCATTAGAATTAGTTGAATGACGTACAGTTACACATCGATTTGATTGGACATTATTGTTGGAAGTAGTAGTAGTAGTAGCAGTAATGGTATTATTTCCACTATTAGAAGGTATTATACTAGGATTAATATTTCCATTATTACTGGTAACAATTTGCTGTATATGCATAATTTCATCCTTAGAGTTACCTAAATTACTCCTGAATGAAAGTTGTCCACAATTCAGAATTGAGTGAATCTTTTTTTCAGCCTGGTGAGATAAAGTTGCACGAGCACAAAGCGCGAGATGGTTAAAATCATCAGCTAAAGGTACGCGACTAAACATTTATGTGTTCCAGAGTGGGAGACTTCTAAATGGTGAAAATATTGACACAATAAAACTGATGTGGAACGAGGTAGTCAATCAAATAAAAGTAGTATACACGAGCATTTGTTTTAAAAAAATCTACAAAAAAAACAAGAAAAGTAGTCAATAACATACACATGGGTTTAAAACGTTATTCATTAAACAACTAAGTAGTAGCTTGAACTTAGAATTTAAATCCAGTCTCACTGAAAAAAATAAAATTCCTAAACAGTTTAGGAAACCGTTGGATTAATGTGAAATATGAGTTTGAATACTTATTAGCATCATCCGTTTGCAAACAACAGTTACAAATAAAGACGAATGGCAGGTAATAGAAGAAACCACTGCACTAAAACTATAGTGACACAAGTGTATGTTGACTTGTATGGTGTTTTGATTACCTTAATTTTGAAATGTTTACAATGACTCAATGAGCCCCATGTTATCATCCACAAAGCATCAATATGAAAATAACAGTATCGAAACACTCTTCTCACTCTCTAAAATCAAGTACTCCTCAAACCTTATCGATTGTAATGATTCACAACTACTGGATTCCATGTAATTGAATCCCTAAAAACTTCGCAAAAAATTCCCTAACCATGTTGTTTGTAAAGTAAAAATATTTTAGGTGCATTAGTGGAAGGAATTAGGCGTGTACAAAATAAAATTTACTCAGAGAACAAATGAAGCAAAAAATACCGGAGGATGTTTCCAAAGATAATTAACCATTTATTCATAAACTATCTGTAATGACAACCATGAAAAAATAACGAATAGGTTTCACAGATGTTCCACAGAATCCCAAGCTACACATCATTTTTTGTACTAGCAATCGGCGGAAAAAGTGGGGGCGGTCAAGTTACGGGAAGGAGAAGTGGAATAAAAGATAACTGTATTGGTTCACCAAGACTCCATAGGTGGGGTTCTAGTGCTCATGCAACTTAGTGGGTTTAACCGTTATAAGGAATGTTCCAGAGTATGAGCTAGTGGTGATCCTGGTTTGCTAGTCAGTCATAATCAACAGAGTCGTAGATAAATGTGAGTCAACACAGGTTTTCGTATCACATTAGCACAAGATAAAATTGGTAAGACGATTATGAAGTAGGATTTTCTACCATTCTTTTTAAAGACAAGAGTTGCATTTGAAAATAAAAGGTCCACCTTAAAATTAAAAATGAGATTTAAATTTATGAAAATCACAGCGACTGAAACAATAACCTTACCGCCCCTCCCCAATAGTCCAGTACAATCAACTTCAAAGTCTACTTCGACAGTCTTTAACTAAACTGTATCTTTAAACAACACTACTCTTGTTCATTTATGTAGCTATCATATGGTTTTTCCTGATATAGACTTCTCAGTGTTGTCATTTTATTCACCCTGGTGCATATTTTGTACTCTATTAAACCGAATTCCTTTTGTTAGAAACTTAAAGTTATAAATTCTATCCAACCTGGTTTTTAGAAAAACTTTAGCTGGAACATGGGTCCTGAATACGAACCTAGGACGAACGCTGGATTGGATCTTCTGAGCCTACAATTCAATATTTGTAGCGCTGCGGCGAACCGCATTAATTGGAAAAATTTTGATTTATTTTCCCGTGACAACCAACAAGTTATTAGGTACTTATTAAAACACAAACATCGGTACAAGGAGGCGCCAAATAGATACGCACCACATAAACCATTCGATTTATATGAGCTCTAGGATAATGCCTGGGTGCACAGACCGAAGCAGGTGGTTTTCTTAGAGGGCTACACCACGAGCCTTTGAACTAAAGGCCTATTCCACAAGGCACTTTAGCAACGTAAGGAGATGCAGTCTCATTATATCAGGTGACCAACAATGGGTTTATACGCCTCTTTTTCCCTCAAGATCTTGTAGTCCATGTGCACCAGTGGTTTGGAATCAGGGTTTTCCAACTCGGCGAGACTCTAATTTAGCGACGAGCCAATCAGAAGCGTTTGAGCAATTTCAAGGTCACGGAGCCAAGTTCAACACGCGATGCTAACATACAGTCGGTTCACAGCGGTTTTTTAGAGGAGGTGATTAATGAGAGGTTAAAACAGATGGGACGGCGAGCCAATGAGAAGCGTTTGAGCAATTTCAGTTATTATCTAATCAGAAGACAGTATAAAGTAAAAATATATTACAAGAAAGTAATGAATTACAGCGGATATTCTTCTTTTACATGATTTAAAAACTTGTTGAGGTTTGATAAAGGCTCAGAAGTTCTGAATTCATAATGCACATTGTATAAAAACTCATCCATAGGGTAAGGATTTGGGGTTAAGGTTAGGGTTAGATTAGGGTTTAGGGTTAGGTTAAGGTTAGGGTTAAGGGTTAGGTTACGGTTAGGGTTAGAGTTAGAGTTAGATTAGGGTTTAGGGTTAGGTTAGGGTTTACCATTAGGGTTAGATTAGGGTTTAGGATTAGGTTAATGTTAGGGTGCTAACATGTGATCGGTTTACATCAGATTTTAGAGAAGTGGTGTTTATTGACAGGTTACAACTCCACCCCGACCCTAACCATAACCGTTAACCCCAACCCTAACCTCTAAAATCCGTTGTAAACTGATCGCATGTAAGCACCCTAACCCAACCCAAGCCCTAACCTTAACCCAAACCCTAGGCTAACACCCTAACCACTAACCTTATGGACGAGTTTCTATACCATATGCATTATGAATTCAAAGCCTCTGAACCTTTATCAAACCTTAACAAGTTTTTAAATCATGTAAAAGAAGAATATCCACTGTAATTCATTACTTACTTACAATATATTCTCACTTTATACTAACTGTCTCCTGATTGACTAATAATTGTCAGGGTCATTTAAGATTCGTTCAAAGGTTGTCGCTAAATTAGAGTCTCGCCTCCAACTCTCCTAGGTGGATCCTCCGTATCCACGACAAACGCTTGTTGAACTTTAAGGAGGACTTAGGATTGTATGGCAAACTCGACCCCCAAATAAACAGTTAAAGATTTTTACGGTGTATTTGACTTATCTGCCAGTAGTTATAAGGAGTATGCTGATTCAAAATAATTGACTGTCATATCCAAAAATCCACGACAGTGGGATAGCAATGAGATCAAAGTACCTAGGTGTGGACAGTAATCGCCTGACAACCCAAGAATCTGCAGGTAGACACTAATCGAAAAGAGGGGAAAGACAAAATCCGGTGGACATATTCTTACTCGAGTTGAACGATATTCGACTTGGCAAATACAACTTGCGATCTCTTGAGACGATTTAACTAAAAAACGGCCAGCCGTCACAGTCAGGCACACCTCGAATTTATTGGGTTGTTCTGGCCAATACAAAAAGTTACTTCATTATCGACAAACGTTTTAAAAGCCCATTTTCTGACGAATAATCACTATTGAGAAATAATTGAGGGAGTTGTCAGAAAGTAATTATGGCTAGAGACCGCAAACAGAGCATAAAAAGGCACATGAAGTCTTGTAGAAAAGAAATTTCCGACTGATTCATCAACCCAAGTTCATTTTGTTATGCAAATCTTAGTGCTCAATATTACCGAGATTTCCCCCGAATAATGAAAACAAGAAACAGTTAATATTTGTCAACCAATAAAAAACGTAAGCCCTTGAAAATAGAGTTTATAGTTTAGTATTAGTGAAACACAGAAATAACTACGATGCCAAACAGACAGTTACCTACAAGGTTACGCCAAATGCAAATCCCGAGCCTATAGACTTTAAGTATTGATGGCGAACTTCAATTTTCAATCTATCTACAGCAAGTAACTGTAAAACAAATCAAGGAAACATAAAAATTGCACCAGGAAATAGGGTAATTCGTAACATAGAGTATCAGATTTACGACCAAAGCATTAAGTTGCTATAAATTTGATTAAAAACACCACATAAAATGGAGTGAAAAGAAGTTTATGGATGATAAATAGTCGTGTATACAATTGCATATCAGGGACTCCATGATTTTGAAGGCATAGAGAGAAGTGCTACTGGTCGGTGGCTCGAAGGTTGATGTGATGTGGAACAGCTTCCAAATTGCCGGCAATGTGCCTCGGTTCTGCGAATGTGAGAACAGCACGATAAGCGGTTTTGCCAAGATTAGGGCTGCTCCGACCAGTATATCAGAATGGACCATATTCGAGCCAGGAGCAGAGTCCTTTTTTAGGCGCTGCGGTAACCGGTACACCAAATCAGTGATCAGGTTCACCTTTGAAAGTCCTCTTGAGTTGCAGATGAAGCTTTCATCAATATAGTCAGTGTGGTAGGCTGTACGGCTGCTCTCGTACAATCAATTCCGATTACGGTTAATTTTTTAAGTCGTCTTAATAACTTACTTAACAGATAATGCTATTCTAGCAGTTACAATTCGGTTATTTATTTGTGCTATTATGATCACTGTCTTGTCTGTACAAATGTGTACTCTTGATCACATGACAGCCTATGGACATATCTCTCTCTAACTTAAATGTTGACAGCCTAAATATCACTCGTTGAATCATTCTCTTTCCTGTGCATATATTTACTCGAATCCCATTATAGCTTTTAACATACCTAGATGAGCCCTTATTCGATGTAACTATAAATTCACCTCTGTATTCGCACACACACATTCGCCTCTCTGCTTCAAATTTGCTCGACGTGATTGTAGCTTTTTTATCCGCGCTATCCAATAGTAAACTGCAGTCGCCGCTTCTTACTGCTTTCTGATTGTAAATACTATTGACATTTATATAATAACGTTTACAAAGGTGATTAATTAACGAGACTAAATTAATACAAGTTTTCTATGAACTTGAGATCAATTCACGGAAAGTTAACTCATATATGTCAATAAATAAGCAATCGGGATTAAGTTCCATATATGGATTTTTTAAACAATATATCGTTCACAACGCGTAGATTGATTTTTAGAGAAAAAAATTGACTAAAATTGTATGATCATATATACACTGGATATTTTACTGAGAAATAAAGGTGCGCATTCTAGTAACTCGACTATAAAAGGCAGAATACATAAAAAAATATGGCGTACATTTCATTTTGAATGATTTTATCGAGTTTTTGATATGGTGTAAGCTATTGATTCAGTTGATTTTCATGGATCTCTAAGTCAAATATAATATTTTCACCTAATCCCATTCAATATGATATTAGAATAAATAAAGACTATACTGTTGTTCATTTGATGAGATTATTACAGAGTTCAAATATGTAAGGAGTGAACCGGTGATTACTAATGATAATGGATGTTTATGACTGTATTTCATATTTGAAATTGTAAAATAATGGCAGGAAGATTAATGGATGCTACAAGACCTAAAGGTTCTTGGTTTGAACCCTAGTCTGGCCATGACTACATTGCTCTGAAGCATTTCGTATTACGATGAAGTCGTTATAGACAGCACGGCTTCATTAGAACAATGTCGTACAGTACATGTGTAAAACTATGGTCTACTATGATATTAGTACTGCTCTAATAATAGACCTAATCCTAAATTTGTAGATTTGTCATGATATAACTGCCTAATCTATAAGATCTTACGTGGAAGTCACACCATCGACTACACCAACTCACTGTATCGTATCAATTACCAATACATGATGTAGAACAAGGTTAGGCTAGAGAAAGAACAATATATTTAATATGAATAGAAGATATAAGGTAACATTCAGATGAACCACGCCTGCATGGCCGAGCCATGCCATCGATCAACTCCAGTCCATTCAATTCATTGTTCGCGCCTTCTCCATTGTTAGGTATTTCTCCGCGTTAAATATTGAATATCTATTTTCTGAGTAGTCTCGTGTTCACAGCTTTGTGGATTGTGTGGCTATTGTCCAATGCCACTACACTACTCTCCCACCAGAATCAACGTGATGTTGGTTCGATACCAAATTGGATGGGATCGTCGCGCGCCGGAGGTTACCAAGGATAATAAGAATCCTCCGGGTATTGGTAAGCTGAAAGATAAATCAAAAAGAAGGCGGCAGCATCTGGTCGGGAAATACATGTAATAATTTTAAAATATCTGCCTTCATGCTTAAAACGCTTGAAATGAAAATTTGGGTGAAGATTATTTGAACTATAAAGAATGGCATAACAATAATAATAATAATAAAACGATGCGTGTTAATAACTTAACTTATAGGTAGTAAGTATTTTGTGTTTAGAAATATTAAAGTAATGAATATTGTAGAAATGTTAATATTGGTATTAGTTTTGGTTTAAATTATGAAATCAAATAACGATTATGCCGGTAAGTTGTCCATATGAGTTGAATTCCAATTGCATCTGTATTAGTAGGCTAACTGAAGGAACAAAAGTATACCGTGGAGAAGAATTCCAACTAGTGTTCCAGTTAGTTTGATACGGTTTATTTAGTTACGGGGAGATTTTCTCAACCTCATTTTTACTTGACCGTGATAGAATTTAGTAATACTACTAATACACATGAATGGTTATCAAAATAAAATTTAAATACATGAGTGATAATTATATGAATTTTGGACAGATAGCTAGGAACAAATCGTTAAACATGAGTGTATTCGTAAGAGACATGCTCTAGACTCAATGTTCTGATCTGTGGCAGACTATTTATATATATTTATACTTGCCGGCTGATTGGGCATACAAGTTAGTTGCAAGTATGCAGTTTATCATAAGGCGGAATACGATTTAATTGAGATATAGTGGTTATAAGTTATTGAAATCAGTTAGGCCTGTGTCATATTACGAAGTGATGTGGTGCTGCAAGATGTATTTGGCTAAATAAGTTTTTACAAGATGATTAATAGTGAGTGATGCTCATGTGATTATCAGGGAGAACATAAGTTGTAACCAGGGGAGTACACTCCCAACTCATGTCTATGATAATGGCTTGAACCTTAGTCAGTGTTGGGGTAAATTCGACATTGATGTTTTCAGTTTGCAGGAGATTTGCTCGACTGCTTATACTGATTATTTGCATGCATGATTGTGTCGCTAAACCATCAATTAGACTGACAAGGTTTTGAGATATTTACTGAATGAGCAACTGATAGAGAAACATACTGTAATCATCTGTAGTGAATGAAGATAAAAGAAAAACAACACTAGTGATAATTATAAGTCAATTTGCTGACCGATTTTGTTAATAGTTTCATTAATTTTATCAATCATATTACGTGATTGTCAAGTCATGACAATGCTTTATGACGATATCCTGAAACTATTATGTTTAACTAGTTATAGTGTTGAATGAGGATTAGTCAGTGGAAAAATAGGTATTGTTGCTTTAGGTGATTCGAAATTATCAGAAATTTATAACGTTAAAGAATCCGAGACGCCTAATTTAATTATAAATTTTAATTCAGAAATATTCGTTTAGTGTTAATTCTAGTAGGCTACGGAGTTTTGATTTTAAACGTTTGTTTAGCCAACAGCTACCTAGGGATTTAGTTATTTTACTAGTGCAGTTGATAGTACCTAAATTTTTAATCTTATTATCTAAACTATGTTCGCATTTTAGGCTGCTAATATGATAAATCAATCCATAAACCCAAATACGATTAGCAACAACGACTATGATGGGTTTATTGATAAATGTTAAAGGCGATTCAGATGATTTCTAAATTTAGAAGACATGAAGATATAGTGTAACGTATGCGCGGGCCAGGTTAACATGCAGGTTGTTGACGTATATGACAATTTAAAAATAATGAACATGACCAGAAAATAATTTTAAAGTTAAGACTGCTTGTGAAACTTCAGGCAGGAATATGACGCGTTATAAACATTCCATAAGAAGTTACTGCATTTAGCCTAGGGACACTTACAAATATATGGCAAAAGCAACTGGAAAACATATACATGTTAAGTACAAAAAATCATTAAGTAAAATAGTTGAACTCGCCTGGATTATTTTTGAAAATTAGATTATTCAGTGGACGACATATATAACGCCATTCGTGAGGAGTAGTAATGATCCAAAAGTATCCAGAATAAAACATGCAGTATGGCAATCACTTCCAGGGTGCTTGATGCTGTTGACGTTTTTGCCACTCGCTCGGATCAGAACAATGAATGAATCCAGATAATTGTGTGTGCCATTGAATGAGCCATCTAAAATGAACTTATGATTGCAGAAAACTTATAGCTGGAACTCACCGTATGTTTTTGGAGAAGTGTCATCCTTGTTGTTTGGCAATGGAACTCGAGAATATGAAATTAGGCAGGCAGTGGTCGGAAGAAAAGATATTACAGGATAGTGCATAGTTTAAAACAGGATGAGGTGTTAAGTGAAGGAACACTAAGAATTAGATCCAGATAACTACTTAGTCCTTGCTTACGTTGTTAGTCAATGTATATTTACGTTATTTACAGGTCATATTTGCTAGAGCTTGATGTTTAAACAAGACTATGTCGCTGAAGCATGTAAATGCTATTAAAGCTTGTTAACGAACCATCAAAGCTAATTAGTTAATTTAGACGACCAGTTTTTACTATCGATTGAGCTAGTATGTTATGAGAACTAATCAATATAACATTACGATAACGCATGTGAGCATTAATCAGAGGACTATTAGAATACTGGGTTTACAAAAATAAAAACCGATTGAGAAGTTTAAGGTGGAAATAAGGATTAACAATAATAGGTTGCGTTTCTTTAGTTGGGCTCACCAATGTAGAACTATGGTCTACTATAATATTAGCGCTGCTCTAATAATAGACCTAATCCTAAATTTGTAGATTTGTCATGATA